TAAACAAGCTATACTAGAGCAAGAATATCTCATATCATCAGGGTTAAAAGCAAGAGTATCCCATATCATGCTTTTTCCCTGTCTTTTCCTTTGGCCTTGTTCTTACCTGCAAGACAAGGAGAAAGAGAGCAATCAGTCAGCACTTGGAATCAAGCTTCCAGCCAGGAACTGACTGCCTGGAACCCCTTACCTGATTACTTACCTGGCATTGCTCTCGAGTACTCATCTTCAACATCTTATGCTTCCAGGGAAGATACCGCATCTGCCTGAGGAACAAATAGGGCAAGTGAGAAGGATACAAGGAAGCATGTGGAGACAAGCGTAACAGCACACGTGCCGATACATCCACTACTCTGTCAAAAGCAAAAAGTATCCCATATCAGCAGGGTCGAACGTACTCTAGATTTGATGGACTTGTTTTGACCCTCAAATTCTTCAGTCGGCCTTATACTCTGGAGGAAACCAGAAAACCCTCCAGCCCAGTTCAAGAATAAGCCTGTGGAAAGTTACTTCTTCAAAAGCAAAAGTATCCCATATCATCTCTCCTCATTTTTCTTCTCTTTATCCTTCATGCTGCCTGCAAGATAGGGAGAATGTGAACAATCAGCCGGAGCTCTGATTGCTTACCTTGTCTGTCACCTCTTTCAGCAGATCCCCTAGCTCGGCGACTTGGGGGACTCCTACTACATGGTTTGTATCGCGCTTGACCAAGCCTGAAACTACAAGTAAGCTTCAAGTGAAATTGATACATTACCTTGTGCATCTCTCCACCAGTTACAGATACCACCCCTGGATGGAGGAAGAGTACTTCCAGAGAAGATGCCACACATCTACCTATGAGACAGATAAGGCAAGTCAAGACGATACCACACTCCGGTACTTAGAAGTTTCGTGGCTACGAGATCATTCTCCCACAATATTTCCTAATGTCATTTGTACTAAATCATTCACTTGTACTCACTAAAGGAGAGCTTGAACCTATGTACTTGTGTAAACCCTTCACAATTAATGAGAACTCCTCTATTCCGTGGACGTAGCCAATCTGGGTGAACCACGTACATCTTGTGTTTGCTTTTGTGTAAACCCTTCACAATTAATGAGAACTCCTCTATTCCGTGGACGTAGCCAATCTGGGTGAACCACATACATCTTGTGTTTGCTTTCCTATCTCTATCCATTTATATACTTATCCACACTAATGACCGGAGCAATCTAGCGAAGATCACAAAAAGTGACCGTTTTCGCTACCTAGGATCTATCTTGCAAGAGAACGGAGAATTAGATGGAGATCTCAACCATAGAATACAAGCTGGATGGATGAAGTGTAAGAGTGCATCCGGCGTGTTGTGTGACGGTCGTAGGCCACTGAAGCTCAAGGGAAAATTTTATAGGACGGCAATAAGGCCAGCGATGTTGTATGGCACAGAATGTTGGGCAGTGAAGCATCAACGTACACAAAATGGGTGTAGCGGAGATGAGGATGCTTCGTGGGATGTATGGGCACACGAGAAAGGATAAGATTGGGAATGAGGTTATCCGAGGTAAAGTAGGAGTAGCCAAAATTGAAGGAAATATGAGAGAAAATCAGTTCCAGTGGTTTGGACATGTGCAAAGAAGGCCTACTGACGCTCCGGTTCGAAAATGTGACTACGGGACAGAGGTTTAGGGCCGAAGGGGTAGAGGAAGACCTAGGAAAACTTTGGAAGAGACCCTAAGAAAAGACTTGAGTACTTGGATCTAACGGAGGACATGACACAAAACCGAGCGCAATGGCGTTCTAGGATTCATATAGCCGACCCCACTTAGTGGGAAAAGGCTTTGTTGTTGTTGTTGTTGTTGTTGTGAACAAATGCTTTGTCTGTTTGATTCCTAGTGTTCTGCTATTTGATTACTGGTGTTCTGCCATTGATCTTTGGATGTTTGATTTTTTGGTGTCTATATTTCTTATTTTACTTTTTGGTAGATCTTTGGAATCGTCTGAGTTGGTATATATTTGATAAAGTTTATACATGGTTTATTACATATTTTCTTGATTAATTTTAAAATGTTAATTGAGGGTTATCTGAAATAAGTGTGATATGGGTTTTATGAAATAAGTATGATCAAAATATAGTATCTAAATTTAATAGTTATCCTGCTTCTTAGTCCGACACTACATCAAACGCTTCATTAAATCAGTCCAGCTTAGTCTAGTCTAAGCCAGTCCAGCTTAGTCCCTGAAGTTAGTCCAATCCAAGATAGTCCGGTGCAACAAACGCACCCTAATAGTTCCAATTATGTTAAAAAAAAATTAAAGCTTGTATTTATTAGCGACAAAATAAAATGCTATGCAGGGTCACAATATGACTGTTATTGAAGCCGATGCGCATTATGTCGAGCCATTTGAGACCTAAAACCTATGCATTTACTCCGGCAAGACCTATTTTGTCCTGGTAAAGGCAAACCAAAACCCATCAAGAAGCTACTGGATAACTAGAAACAGTCGGAAACCTTCAACCCCAACGGGCCTAGCAATCCTCACTTACTATCCAAACTACCCCAAGAAATTTCCTCCAACTCTTCCAACCACAGGCCCCCTATGGAACGAAACTGCACAAAGATTGGCACAAAGTCTTTCACTCAAAGCCCACAAAAATTTCACTCACACTCCTCACACTTCAAACAAAGTGATTGTGCTTCTCAACACACAAAACAAGATGGTCCTTAAACAATGTATCTTTCTCTCTTCCCCACACACCTTACTTAGTAGCCCTAAAAGAAATGTAAACCCAAACTACGTTTTCGACCACAACCTTCCTCTGTAAAACTACAACTTCGAGAACTACGACATATACAACGTTGCTAAGAATGTAAAAGCTACTTCAAGCAATGGGATATACCGGGTGAGGTTCAATAGCACGGTGCATATTATATTGCAGAATGCAAACACTATGACAGTGAACAACAGTGAGACGCATCTGTGGCATCTCCATGGAAATGATGTTTGGAGAGTATGAAACCTTCAACCGTGCAGTTCCCTATAGGAGCAAGGAGTATCATTTCTACTCTCTTGCTGCAATGCATATCATGTCAAATGGGACTACCATCTATAAGAACCAACAACAATTCACAGGACAAATACCAATAGAAATTGACAAATCAACCATATTGTCTAAGGAATATGCAAATTTAGAAAACTGAAGGAACGTACAAACTTAGAACATCCAGCTTATATTTGTCAAAGCAGATCAATGGCACTAGATGGTAAGTAAATCCCTTCCATGAATATGACCAAATACAATACATATTTCAAACATTCTCTGAAACTCAAATTCCTTTTACACCCTTTATCCTTCAAATTTAGGTTCTTTAGTTGCAAACTTGAGTTGGCCAAAACAGTGCTTAACTTTATGTACCAAAGTTTGAATCTCTAATTTACACAAGTTTCCTATTGTTTTGTCAACTGAAGGAATCAAACCAGCACCAAGAATCCTATGGATCTCCCTCTCCCTCCCACCACACACACTATACAACCCAATCACTACCTAAGAACTTCTCCTTTGCCATTATGAACAAAGCAAAATAGAAAACGGATTATAAAATCCGATGAAAACCCAGCAACATTTTTTTTTTGGTCAATAACCCAGCAACATTTAAACAAATCAAACAGAAAAAGCAATAAAAAAGTAAATATTCATCCTCTGATAACGGTAAACTTTTAAAACAAATCAAGCAGAAAACTAAAATAAAAAATGGATAAAAAATCAGATGAAAATCCAGTTAAAATAATCAGCACCTAGCAGAGAAATAAAGGTAACAGATTATGTAATTTAAGGAAAACCCAGCTAAGTAATCAGCAAAAAGAAATAAATTACAAACATAATGGAACTATACAATCTGATAAGAACCCAGTTTACATTATGAGCATACAAACAAAATTACTAAAAAATCAAAATAATTTTTATATATGACCATCTGCATAGATTCATTCCCAATCTAGATTAGAACCCCAATCGAGGTCATTAATCATTCCCATGCTGTGCATATACAAAATCAAAGAAGATTACAACCCTAATTATAATCAAAGCACAAAATAATCCTAAAATTGTGCATATATCTCAAAGATACGGCTGTCGGAGGAGGAAGAGAGAGTCTGAGGTGGCAAGAGGGTGAGGGGGTGAGAGGGTGACAGAGATTTAGTGAAAGAGACGGCTGTCGGAGGGAGAAAGGGTTTACGGAGAAGAAGAGCTGAGGGGAAAGTGTTTGCTATTTCAGTTAAATCCCTAGGTTCTTGCGTGACGAATAGAAAGATACTAGAAATTTGTACCCGCGCGTTGTTGCGGGATTGAAAATTATATGAAATATTTTATAGCTTCAATTTTGATAAACAATGTTTAAGTGAAAAAACAGAGCATTACGAATGACAATACAATTTATATGTAAATTTATCATGAACGGAGCAAATTTAGATACTAAAAGAAAGATCTATTTTTTCAAAGTGTAGAGTAGAAGATAATTGTTTATTCAAAAAGTTGAACTAATGATAACTGCATAATTGACAAATGCAGTATTGAGAGTATACAGTCAAACAAAGCTTGCTACATGCTAAACAATGTTGAAAAACATTATTAGCTTCTTCAATTGTTATATACAATGAATGTAAAGCTTGGATACCAGAGTTGTTCCTAGCTTGAGATGTTTCCAAAGAAGGAAAAATTGACATTTTGTTGTAACAAATTCCGGAGTGTCTTGTACAGTTGTGAATACAACTGTAAAAGATAATAAAGACAGCCAATGAATAAAAAAAAATATGCATAAAAAGTTCAAAACTGAGTTTTGGTAGAGAGAGTGGAGAGAGAGAGGTGTGAAGTCATCTTATAACCGGAGTTCAAATGTATTTTTTTCCTAGGTGGTAATTCGACTTTCTGAAATCAAATATATAAATAAAGTGTAATCAAAATTTAGTACGAAATGTTAATTAGAAATGTGTTAAAATAGAAGTAGAAAAGATTGAAACTTGCCTAATGTGATGTGTACAATTTTACCATCTGTTTGTGAAAAATATACTGCTCTGACATGCCATATGTTGATCTTGCCTTCTTAGAAGAGATATTAGTCGTTGATTGCCAGGTAGCTGAAATCTGTATAATATGTTTATAAATTATGGGACAAATTATTATGTCAAAGTTGTGTGCTAAAAAATAATTTATACTTCTATATTGACGCAAGTTATGATTTTAATTTGCATATACCTTGGTGGGGTCATTCTGTGTATGAGTTTCTTATTCATCATACATGTTATGTCTGATTCCAAGTTCTGCAGAAAGTCACAAAGAAATGATACATAAAATTACTATTGAACTGATGTGGTGATTAATATTTTGGTAGACTGAGATAAACACATACTATAGGTCATAGAAACCAAAACAAACCCAATAACATTACTGTTATATCATCATTTTGAAACATCAATTATTAAAAATTAAACACGAATGATAGATACGAATTTAAGCAGCACTCATACATTGAGAAATCTGAATAAATCATAACAGAGAGAGAGTATTACTTCTTTCCCCTGAGCTGTAAACTGGGCCAGATCAATAGAAGCTGAAGACATTGTAAATTATTCTGTATGTCGCTTGGGACACAAATATCTGTTAAAAAAAGCAAAAACTAATTACATCTGTTAAGTGTCTAAGAACTATAAACACGTGTAAGGTTTTGTAGCACAGAATTTTGTACCGTTACAGCAATTTTATCAAAGTTACATATTATGTCATTCTTATGTTTGAGTGTTATCTTAACAACTTGTTTGACATAAGATTGTTCAATTATAAATAATATTTTTTTACATGTTTTTAATTCACACCATTACTACTTATCTTCTTGCTTTTTAAATTGTAGAGAAGCTACAAACTTATAATTAGACAGTGAATCTGTCTAGATTGTACATAATTAGAGGACCCTAATGATGGAAACACAATTTATACAGAAATTGGGAAGATATCACAATTCTAAAGTGCATATAAAAGCACTTTACCAAATCGGTGAATTTGTTAACTATATTTTTTAAAAAGCAGAACCAAGAAAAATGTAGTTCATGTGTTCTGTGAATCTGTGATGTGTAAATGTGGTCAGCAAGTACTGACTTTCATGTGACAATATTACATCTTAATTCATTTGAATGTTAATAGACTAAATTAATTGAAGATATAGATGTATCAATGCAACAGAAGGACTTCACCTACCTCAAAAATAGTTGCCCAAAAGCATGTAAAATTTTTAATACATTTGTGCATATATTTAACACTATATAGAAAAACATGCTTTCAAACTAATTTCCAAATGTCAGAACCCAATTTTACAAATTAATTTCATCTGTTTATTAGCTACAGTATTTGAATCAGAAGATTCATGTATGATTTTATATCAATCAGGGAAAGCATACACGGAAGAATTGTATAGCTAGAGTAGTCAATCTAACCTACGATTTTTGAAATACAGTGTAGGATAAATTTGCTATATGGAGATCCCACAACAGAACCGAGGAAGATTAAGGATTAATTTTCATTAATAAAATCCCATCTATTTGCGGACATTTTGAGTATAATCCTTTTTGGCTGGTTAGTCAGATCAATTAGGGATTAAATTTAACTAAAATGGTGACACATTTTTAACTAAAATGATAACAAAACTCAATATCCTTCACTTTGAATTGGAGATTAAGTAAAAAACAATTGCCCTCAAATCATCTACATATTCATAATTATGCATGAAAAGTTCGAAAAGTTCGAAAAGCAAAAATTAAATCACTTACATGGCAGGTCTTCAGCAAGAATAGCATTTCTGGAAAACCCATAATAATATTAATCACAGAGTAACACTGAAAATGAATATAAAAAAAAATTGAAATTTTCTTACCTTTAAGTTTCAAGGTTTTTACTCTGGAATCCAGGCAAAACCCAAATTAGATTCTAAATAGGTTTATCAAAAATAATAATTTAATCAGAAATTAACATTGAAAACAAATAAAAAACACAAAAAAAATTTGAAATTTTCGTACCTAAAGGGCAGCGTCGATGAACAACGCGTGGAATCTTTGGAAACAAATGGAAGCAACTGGAACAACACGTGTTGACACGAAAAGGGCAGCGAAGCAAAAATGAAAACGGATGACAAACACGTGGACTGAAAAGGTAGAATGATTAAAAAAAATCAGAACATAAAAGGAATAAGGGCATGTCCGAGCGCAAAGTGTTGGTGTAAGGATAAAATGGTCCAAAAAAATCATAACACAAAGGAATAGAACGGCAAAAATGGAAAATCAAGAAGGGCAAAAACGGAAAAACACTGTTACTTTCACTGTTCATCAACAGTGTTCCACCCGTTTTGGGTTTTAGTATATATAAAATATGTCGCGCAAAAAATTCAAATTTTCACGTAATTATTTTCGCGTCTGCTCAGAAGGTCAAATTTTCAACTTCTTGTGCCACAAAAAGGAACTTATACATCATTTGCACGACGAATATCTTTATGTTCGTCCTGCAATGAATTAAAAATATTATTTACCTAAGTCAAAAAAAAATTTAATTTATATTTATTCAAATAAAAACAATTTATTTATAACATAAGATAAATAAATTACAAAACAAAATCATTTAATATGTTTTACAAAGCAAGTCACAAATAAATTACATTATTCATCATCCGAACTATAAAAAATTTCACTATCGTCGCTATCATCATTTTCAGTATCTCATTCCTCCTCCTCGATAGGTACGTCATCGTCGTCGTTCGGACCCACTGTAGCATCATATCGTGGAAGATTACCGAGGTCAATTGTAATTGACCGAATCGATATTTCAATTGAAGCCACTTCTTGTATCTGAAACGATTATTGGATAAGATTTGTACCTCGAAGTGTTTCCGCATCATTTTCCATTGAAGATTTTAAATGTTGGTTAGTGACGTTGTCGATGTCGTCATCACTAGGTCTTGTTCTGGTATAGCTTACACATTCCTCTGATGCATCTTTTGAACAACTTTCCAACCTTTCCCGACTTTAGGGTCATCCAAATACACAATCTGTTTTGCCATGTTTGCCAAAATGGAAGGGTCGGTATCGTACCAAGTTCTGTTAGTGTTCACAGATAGTAAGCCATGGTTAATTTTAACACTTCCTTAAATATTTAGGTTTGTATCAAACTATCGACACTTAAACATGATCACTTGGCATCGGTCTTTGTAAAGAAATTGCATGACACTTGTTAGTTTGCCATAGAAATCAATGTATGTAATTTCACCTCCACCTGGGACATAGACACCGCTGTTTTGCGTACACAACTTGTCATCTCGTATGGCCCCCAAAACCTTGACGCCATTAACATGGCAACCCGAGAATAATTCATTGCAAATCGGTCTGAACGCTAAGTTATATAACTCTTCATTGTAAGTGGAGGAATTATGCTTTCAATTTATTCACCTTGTTTATACCATATTTAGGGCCTCGTATTTAGACCTCGTATAAATACTCGGGGGACTTAAATGTAATTATGTAATAAAGGAAGGGGCAAATATGTAATTAGGGGAAGAGCCCTTATTATATAAAATGGCCTCCTCACCCTCATAAACCCTAAGCCTCTCACCCCCTCTCAAAGCTCCTCACATCCCCTAAGCTCTCTCTCCCTCTTCAACAGAGAAATATAATACAATCAGTGTGGACGTAGCCCAAACCTTGGGGTGAACCACGATAACTCTTGTGTCATTTACATTTTATGCAGATTCACGGTCGGATTTATGTTGTACCAAGACCATCCGGTTTTGTGCATCAACATTTGGCGCCGTCTGTGGGAAACGACACAAAAAGCTATGTCGGTTCTCTTTCATTTTTTCATCTCACCATCGTGAAAACTTCACAACCTCCACTGTGAATCTGCAAAATTTGCAGAACCCAAAAACCTCACTCTTTGAGCTTTTTCAAAAAAAAAATGTCGCAGACCTCCAACCACCTCTCTCTCCTTTGTCAGCCAGTCACACACGGAAACCAAAAACAAAGAAAGAAACAAATCAGCTCAATAAATGTGAAAAATTGCCATGATAACAAAGAAACAAAGACCAACCAGAGCTTTTAATTTTGTCTGCTACCGCTGCTTCCACACCTCCGAGCGAACTCACTCGCCAACTCGACAATGACTCAGGAATCGTTCATCTACAGCTTCATGGCCCGAGGTACGATGATCTTGTCGGAGTACACCCAGTTCACCGACAACTTCCCCGCGATTACGGTGCAGTGTCTCTAGAAGCTTCCTTCCTCCAAGACGAAGGCATCCCCGTCACTGCCGAGAAAATTGCAACCTTGGTGAAAGCTGCCAATGTCCCTGTCGAGTCTTACTGGCCTGGCCTCTTCGCCAAACTTTATGGGAAGAGAAACATCGAGGATCTTGTCCTGAATGCTGGCCTTGGCGATGCAGTTTCCATCGCTGCCCCAGGTGTTGCCGAAGCTGCAGCCCCAACTGCTGCTGCTACTCAACACATCTTTCTCTTCCTCCCTCCTCGACTCCATTTACCGTTCCATCGACAACACCACCACCTCATCTTCTACAAAGAAACCATGAAGAAAGAACAGAGCACCGCCACCGTCATCACTACCAGCGGCCAACATGGCCATGCACGCTCTAAAAAAGACCAGCAGCACGAAATCATGAAATACCGACAGAGCATCAACTTGGCAGCATCGACAAAGCATCAACGACATCAACTTTGCTTGTTAGACATTATCCCACTATCTGCCAGCCCACAATCCCACTATCCAAACCACAGAAGATAAGTCTTCTTTTACTACAAGATGCTGGCCACACTTTCTTAAAGCAAGATTGTTTTAATAATTTTTATTATTATACTTATTCTTCAAATATTAGTGTGGAAGTGGGCCTCCTGTGGAAACCAGAGTTTGAGTATGGTGACGACCATAGAGCTGGAAAGATTGTGGTTAAGCTCAATGGGAGACTGAACAGGGGTGGTTGCATGCATGAAAGAGATAGACCCAAAATTACAAGGCCAAGTTCATGTGCAGCTACGGCGGAAGGTTCCTCCCTCGCCTGCAAGACAACCGGCTCTGCTACGTCGGCGGCGAGACCAAGATTTTTTCTGTCAATTGCAACATCACGTTCACAGCCATCATTTCCAAACCACCACCTCTTCTCTCTCTATCTCTCTACAAAACCCAAAAAGAAGAAGAAAATGGAGGAAAGGAATAAAGAAAGAAAAAAGTGTTAGTGGAATTGTAAACAATTCCACAAAGAAGTGGAAGACACGGCAAAAGAAAAGAAGGGAGATAACGTAATTGTTGGCAGGTATCTTTGGTGATCGCGATTTGCGTCCTCTTTCCTGAAAGTCCACGTGATTTGTAGGTCATAGCTCGAGCCCCAAATGCAACGCTTTACACTGGCAGAAGCCGCTTTATTGACAATTCTACATGTGTCGCCAAGGCTAACCATTTCGCTCCGACCGCTAAGATCTACGGCTCTTATGATGCCGTTCTGGACAATCCCAACTCGACGCCGTCTTTGTCCCGCTCCCCACCAGCCTCCACATCAAGTGGACAATCTTCGCCGCCCAGAAGGAGAAGACGATGACCTCCATTGTTCTGAGGAAAAAAAGGCTTTTGAATCCTACCCATCCACCGTTTCGTTCACTTCCAGATTCAACCCAGGTCGTTAATTTGGACGACCGAGTCAACTCGGTTCATGAGTCGGAGGATCCGAATCTTGTGATGGATCTCCAGAGCCTGAAACTTGGAGAGGCTTGACTTGAAACAGTGATGAAGAAGAAGACAACTTCCAAGGACGACGGATTCGAAACCAAACAATAATGGTGGAGGTCGAAGTCAACGAAGAGAAGAAGCAACTCTCGAGCACATATCCATGGTGACTGGGTGTGGGAACACCCAAATCCTAAAAGGTTCCTTGGTCAGCGATTCCAACGGTGTCAATGTCCGGCATGTATTATGCTTCTCCGACGATCACTTACCACCTAAAACTGGCGAGTTCATAGCAGAAGGAACTCGGTATATTCCTGGATGCTAGTCGGGTCGGGTCCGCATGCAATTTCATTTCCAAAATGGAGCCCCGGTTCCAGGCGACTTTCAAGGGCATGAAGAAACTGAATGAATACATCGTGCATCGCCGGGGTCAACCTCGATAAAATCATCAAGAACGTCGCCTGGCGCAAGCATTCCAGTTGGTCTCCGCCTGCAAATCCGCCCTCGACAAGCTCGATTTTGTCACCAACTCCTCTATCTTCGATCCAAAGTCACCCATTTCTGGAATTTTTCTTTCCGACGCCGAGTTTGCTCTCGGCCCCGTCCTCATCGCCGTAGATTCAGCTTACCCTAAGGTCGTCTACCCTGTCATCGACTGCTTCTACAAGCTCTTCTCCCTCGGCATCATCCACAACGAGATCGACACTTCGGATCCCAAGCTTTTGCTTTTCAAGCTCGTCGAATCGGTGGCAAGTTCGCAAGCGATGACGACGATGACGTTGACCCAAACAACGAACAGTTGTAGAAGGTTTTGGTGAGCCTGGGATGCCAAAAGTGTAGGCTGAAAAAGTATGGGAAAATGATTAAAGGGGTTGATAGGAAGGGGGATGGAGCTGTGGATCTTGAAGACAGAACCCCACCACCACCACTAAATACTCTGGTGGCTCTCCAAAGTATTTAAGATGCTAAGTTGGTGTTGGAGGTACTGATGAGGAGGAGGGCACGCTGTCGACCACCCATATGCAAAAACAAAGAAAAAAGGGAAGCTTTGCTCTGCGATAGCACATGGGAAAGCAAAAGCGAAGCAGAAAATAAAAGCAAAAGAAAAAGTAACACAGACTGCTTTATTGATTTTTTGAATGATGTAATTTAATTTTTTTATCTCTCAGAGACATTTGAATAAATCCCATCAGAGGGTAATAATACAAAAAAAAAAAAAAAAAACGGCAAAGCCCAAAATTAATGGGCTGGCATGTCATGGAGGGCGAAGGCCCATAAGCCCAAAATAGCACCAACC